ACTGCTATATTTCTCATGCCCTTGAGACACAATAGGATGAAAATGAGAATTGTTTAGATTTCTTCCCTTCCAACTCTTTTAGATTCTTACTCTATAATGATCATTAAAATAAAAAAAAAGCTTCCTGTTATTCAAATTGATAACGTTTCTATAGTAGGTTTTGTTGATCTCCTATCTCTCAAATTCTGATGTCCTTATCAATGTACTTCCTAATCATAACATTCATTTAAATAATCTCCTGTCTTTGTTATGATTCCTCTCATCTGCAATCTTTATCAGTGTGTCCTTTAACTCAGAATCCACTTAATAAAATGTGTAATGTCATACTAACTTGGAAAGGTTTCACTGTAACATATGGTGATAAAGAAGGAGGCTCAAAGAAGAGAATATTAAAGAAGTAAAATGATTGCTATTACATCAGCCATCACTTAGAATTATATTCATCATCATCGCTATTGAAATTTTAAACTAGTATTTATTGAACATGATGTGAATGGAATGATATTAGGCATATGAATACAGTCTAGGACTTAGAGCTACAGGAATTTGCTAATACATATAAACCACAAAAAGGTGACAATAAGATATGAAACCTCAAATAATAAAGTACCTCTTCAAATACTTGTGATTTTCTCAGGTGGTATGTTTTAATTTCTTGCTTTTAATTTTTTGTGTATTTATTGTAGGTTTTCTAATTTGAGATTACTGTGAGGCTTGCCAATAATATCTCATTTTAACTGATGATAACCCTGATTGCAGAAACAAACAAGCAAAGAGAAAACTCTACACTTAACTTCATTCCCCTTGTTTTAACATTTTGTTGTTTCCATTTATATTTTACTATACTATGTCTTGAAAAGTTGCTGTAATTATTATTTTTGATAGGCTCATCTTTTAGTCTTTATACTCAAGATATGAGTAGTTTATATGCCACAATTATAGTGTTATAATATTTTGTGGGTATTTTGTGTGTGTGCTCGTACCGTTTCTAGTGAGTGAGTTTTGTGCCTTTAGGTGACTTCTTATTGCCCATCAAAGTCCTTTTCTTTCAGATTGAAGAACTCCCTTTAGCATTTCTTGTAGGACGGCCCTAGTGCTGATGAAATCCCTCAGCTTTTGCTTGTCTGAGAAAGTCTTTATTTCTTCTTCATGTTTGAAGAATATTTTCACTGAATATACTATTTTAGGATGAAAGCTTTTCTCCTTCAGCCCTTTAAATATGTCATGCCACTCTCTCCTGGCCTGCAAGATTTCCACTAAAAAATTTGCTGCCAGACGTATTGGAGCTCCTGCATGTTTGAAGGGTATTTCCACCAGATATACTATTCTAGGGTAACAGTTTATTTTCCTTTAGCACTTTAAATACATCATGCCACTCTCTTCTGGCCTGTAAGGTTGCCACTGAGAAGACAGCTGCCAGCCGTATTGGAGCTCTATTTTATGTTATTCATTTATTTTCTGTTGCTGCTCTTAGAATCCTTTATTGTTGACCTTTGGAAGTTCAATTATTAAATACCTGGAGGTAGTCTTCCTTGGGTTAAATGTGCTTGGTGTTATATAATCTTCTTGTACTTGTATATTGTTATCTTTCTCTAGGTTTGGGAAGTTTCTCTTTTGTTATCCCTTTGAATAAACTTTCTACCCCTATCTCTTTTTCTACCTGCTCTTTAAGGCCAATAACTCTTAGATTTGCCCTTTTGAGGCTGTTTTCTAGATCTTGTAGGCATGTTTCACTCTTTTCTATTCTTTTTTTCTTGTGTCTCCTCTGACTGTATTTTCAAATAGCCTGTCTTCAAGCTCTCTAATTCTTTCTTCTGTTTGATCAATAATTTTGTTCAGAGATCCTGATGCAGTCTTCAGTAGGCAAATTGAATTTTTCAGCTCCAGAATTTCTGCTTGATTCTTTTTAATTATTTCAAATCTCTTCATTAAATTTATCTGATAGGATTCCGAATTTGTTTTGTCTGTGTTCTCTTGATTTTCATTGAGCTTCCTCAACACAGCTATTTTGAATTCGCTGTCTGAAAGGTCGCATATCTCTGTCACTCTGGCATTAGTCTCTGGTACCTTATTTAGTTTATTTAGTGAGGGCTTCCTGGTTAGTCTTAATGTTTGTGGATGTTTGTTGTCTGGGCATTGAAGAGTTAGGTGTTTATTTTGGTCTTTTCAGTCTGGGCTTGTTTGTACCCATTCTTCCTTGGAAGACTTTCCAGGTATTAGAAGGTGCTTGGGTGTTGTGATCTAAGCCAACTTTGCAAGCTCAGTGATGCTGTGGTTCTTGCAGACTCATGGAGGTACCGCCTTGGTGGTCTTGGATAAGATCTGGAATAATTCTCCAGATTACCAGCTAGATACTCTTGTTGTTCTCTTACTTTTTCCCAAACAAATGGATTCTCTCTCTGTGGTAAGCCTCCTGGACCTAGGGTGGAGTGACCCAAGCACCCTTGTGGCCATCACCACTGGGACTGCACTGGGTTAGACCTCAAACCAGCACAGCACTAGGTCTTGCCCAAGGCCCATGGTAACCACTGCCTGGCTACTGCTGATGTTCTCTCCAGGCCCAAGGGCTGTACAAATCCACAGGTGGCAAAGCTAGCCAGGTTTGTGTTCTTTCTTTCAGGATGGTGAGCTTCCCTTGGGCCAAGGGGGAGTCCAGAAATGCCATCTGGAAGCCAGGGCCTGGAGATAAGGAACTTAGGACTCTACTTGGTGCTCTATTCCACTCCACTGTGGCTGAAGTGGCATGTAAGCTTCAAGACAAGGTCCTTCCCAGTCTTCCCTCTCCTTTCCTCAAGCAGAAGGATTTTCTCCCTGTGGCTACTACCACCCCCTCCATGCCCATGGAAAGTACTGCCTGGCTACCATCAATGTTCATTCAGGTCCCAAGGGCTCCTCAGTCAGCCTGTGGTGAATGCCACCAGGTCTGGGTCTCTCTCTTCTGGGTATTGGGCTCCTCTCTAGCGCAGGGAAGGTCCAGAAATACTGTCCAGGAGCCAAGCCCTGGAATCGGAGACCCCAGGAGTCTGCTTGGTGCTCTACCCAACTGTAGCCAAGCTGGTACACAAGCTGCAAGACAGAGTCCCTTTTACTCTTCCCTCTTTTTTCCTCAAACAAAAGGCATCTCACCCAGTGGCCACCATAGCTGGGAATGTGCTGGGTCATCCTTGATGCCAGCAAGGCTCTGGGTCTCACCCAAGGCCCACAGTGAATACTGCCCAGCTACCACTGATGTTTCCTCAGGGCCCAAGGGCTCTTTATTTAGCAAGTGATGAATTCTGCCAGAACTGGGTCCTTCCCTTCAAGGCAGCAGGTTCCCTTCTGGCCCATGGTGTATCTAAAAATGTTGTCAAGGAGCTAGGGCTTGGAATGGGGACCTCGGGAATCTGCCTGGTGCCCTATCCTACTGTGGCTGAGCCGGTATGCAAGTTGCAAGAGAAAGTCCCCTTTACTCTTTCCTCTTCTCTCCTCAAATGGAAGAGAAGAGTCTCTCGCAGAGCTGTTGGGGATTGGGGTAGGTGTAATGCAAACACTCTCTTGGTGGTCCAGCTGGTATCTCAGCAGGTCATCTGTACCCTAAGTCCACTGGCTATGAGTCCAGCACAGTACCAGGACTTGCTCAGGAATTGCAGGCCTTGTAGGTTGGACTGCGTTTCAAGTTTATTCAGAGGCCGAGAGCACTATAGTCCATGGTGGTGAGGTTTGCCAGAACTCAGGTTCCAGTTACTGGGATGGATGATTCTCCTCTGGCTAGGGCTGGTCTAAATGTTCCCTTCGTGAGCTGTGGCTGAGTTTTGCCCCATGTTGCTTTCTGCTGTGACAGAGCAGCACTGAGTTCCAATGCGAAGTCCCACAATCACTACACTCTCCTTTCCGCAAGTGCACGGGTTTTCTTCCCATGCCTCAAGGCTACTGCCAGGGGATGGTAGACGAGTGATGTAGACAATTCAATCATGTCTTTCCTACCTTCTTTAGTGACTCGTTCCTTAATATTAAAACCAGGCATTGTCATCACTCACCTGATATTTGGTTCTTATGAAGGTGTTTTTTTGTGGTGATAGTTTTTTGTGGTGATAGTTCTTCAATTTGGTGTTCCTGCAGGGGGGACAATCACTGCAAGGTTCTGTTCTTGTTCCACCTTTTTCCTCTTCAAATACTTTTCAATAAGGTCAGATGTACTTTGCTTTCCAACTTAAAACACTTAAGAATAAAAACTAAGCCAAAAGCACACTATTTGTATAAGTAATAATGGATGGCCAAGATGTGAGACCTGGTGATGCAATGTTGATTAGCAATTGCAGAGATTACTACTGCTGTTGTCCTCTGAAACTAGAACATTGAATGTATTGCAGAGAAAACAAAGCCTGCAGTCTATTTACCTTTCTTTCTCTTTCAAACCCTTTATAGCTAACACAACACATGCCTCAAAGGTTTGATGTAAATACTGTTTACCTCAGGTAGAAGCTGAAGATTGAATTCATAACTTTGTATAAATTAAGCAAAATTAGATTATAAAATTGTTATTTTATTTAGACTTTCTTTTCTGAGCTTCTATCTTTACCTTATTTATAGTCACCCATCTATATAAAGTAAGTTGAATATAGATGGCATATTAATGCATATACCTGTACAGAGATGATGTTAACTCAAGAAAAGTCATCATTTTAAATTTAAATTAAATTTCTACTGGTGGAGTTTACAACTGGTATTAACATTTAGGAGTGTATAGCAAATAAAGATTTGTTTTAAACCAATGGCCTCTTTGGAAAAAAATTACTTTTAGAATTCAGCAAGTGTTACAGAAATCATACAAAGGAATGGGAATTGAATTATAAAATGATGAGAACAATTTTTATACAAATTTCTTTTCATTTCATTTCTATGGTGGTTGTGGAATTTGTTATAAGTTAAGAGTCTAGTGAAGGATAAGAAATTGTGTAATTGGCTAGCACTGGAATGTTTTTTAAAAATCTAGCCCTGAATGACAGCTAGAGGGAGAGAGGATGATAGGTAAGAAAGAAGAGAAAACATTCATGTACTTGTTCCAAAGGAGCAAAACCAGCATTTATGTAAGGCAAAAATGAAAGTAGAACACAATAGCCCATTCAAGAGCTCTTAGTCATGGAGTGAAGAGGCTTTTATAGGGGAAATAGATAAGCACAGTTGTTTGGAGTGTTGTACAAACATGCTCCTTAAGAAGAGGGTCTTTATCTGAAAAAGAGCAGAAGTGCCAAAAATGATCCTGAAAACCTACAAACCTACTTCTTTGAGAATAGAAAGGCAAGGAAACTTCTAGAAAGATTTTCATCTGAAACAGTTTAATTACTTTATTGATGAAATAAATTTGTCCTCTAGAAAATTATTTTTGATCCCAAATCAAAAAGATATCTGTCACAATTTCTGATTTGATCTTACTTCCTAGGTGATATGAAATGACTTTAAAACATCAAGGACTATGTAGGCTACTGTAACTCAAGGAAAATCAGGACAGGGGCATGACCAGAAAATAATTCAGGAAACAACAATTAACATGTGTTATTGTATGCCTGCTACCAGGCCCAAGAAGCTTTCTAAGATTTAGTGATGAGGTAATGACTTTAGATCTAAATCCTTGCTGGCCATAGTCAAATATAGCTCTATTTCATGATTTTTTAGTATATCAACATTTGTACAACATGTCTTTTGTTCTACAGTTAGCAAACTGGACTTTTTTTTTTTTTTTTTTATCTTGTTGGACTTTCCAACCTAAGCAAAAGAACTATATAGCTTGCAAATTCAACTCTAGGAACTGATGGAGACTATTAAAATCTACTTCTATCACCTAAAATTTTTGCAATCTGGTTCTTATTGTCATTATAAGGACTTTTTTCATTTAAAAATCAATAGTGTTCCATTTCTTAATCATTTTGAGATCAATATTAAATAACCAAAGCAGCTCTTAAAAAGGCAATTTAGCAATAAATTTTCACCTAAACTAGAATTGGAGCAAATTGATTATATTCAAGTCTCAGCAGTCTTCCCCACTATATTTTATGACATTAAACCATCGCTATTTAACACTACATAGTGTGACAGGACAAGGTAACAAACGTCTCCTACAGCTTTTATAAAAGCCAAAAATGGATGGTTTTGTAGTAAATACACACTTGAGAAACTTATTGCTGTAAATTGCAGAAAGGCTAAATTATTTGGGAGAAGATTAACCCTGTCAATAATTCACTCTGCTACTATAGGCAGCAGTAAAGTTTCTATGGAACCAGTTAATAGCATTGACAGTCATTATGCTGTTGAGAGTAACAAAATAGAAATAACACAGCATGATATTCTTCCACTGTGAGACAAAGTGGTAAATAAAACTATATAGGTATAAGGTATGTTAATCACTTCAAGAAGGCTAAGAATGTATCGATAATTCTATATCTTGTTGGTTCGCATAGTGTTTGGTCTCTAGATTTCAGAAGCCCCACTGAATGTATATATTCTATTTCATGGCATTTATCATAATTATAATTTAAAAGGGGGTTATCTAATTGGTGATATATAGTCTGTCTCTTCTAATAGAATCTAAATTCTGAAAGAACATGAAACTATGATCCATGTATGCTGTTTTTACTAATACGTCCTTGGTGCCTAGTACTGTGTCTAATATAGGGAAAACATTCTATACTCTTTGTTGAAAAAATACAAGAATTGAGTAGATGAGTCATTGTTTAGTACAAACATACAATTTGAACAATTCACAAATAATCTGCAAAAAATACATTTAACACATTCAGCAAAATGATAGACTCATCACAAGTCTCATTCCTCAGTTGAGTTTTTACAATTGGTCTCTCAAGCCTCACTGCAGTCAAAAGATACATCCTGTAATCACCTCAGTTGCTGAAGCATCTTGACCCTTTAGACAATAAAGAGAAGCAACATACACTTCACCCAGAAATATGAGCTGAGAAAGATTTCCCCCTTGGTTTCGAGGTTGTGAATGGGGACATGGAGGGATTAACTCACTCAGGCACATTCAAGAACCACTACCACTATCTTAATTTGCTCCTCCCCCTACCCAAAATAGACATCAAGATAAGGACCTGGGAGCATGTATTTTGTTTAGGAGGTGATCCACAGCCACATGAGTGATAAAGAGTGGGAAGCAAGACAGTGAGAAGAAAAGCCAATAGAGGATGCATTAAAGAACAGGTTATTGCAATGGGCAACTGAAGCAATCCTGATGAGAACTGTATTAGTCAGGGTTCTCCAGATAAATAGAATCTATATATATGTACCCTTATGTGTGTGTGTGTATGTGTGTGCATGCACGTGCGCGTGTGTGTGTATATATACAGAGAGAGAGAGGAGGCAGAGAGATATTTATTATAGTAATTAGCTTATGAAATGATGGAGACTGAGAAGTTTCACTATTTGCAAGCCGAAGGAAGGACTAGGAAAGCTGACAGTATAACTCCCATCACTAGTCCCAAGGCCTGAGAACCAGGAACTCCTATGTCTGACGGCAGAAGAAAATAGAAGATGGGAGTCCCAGCTCAAGAAGAGAGAGCATGTTAGCATTCTTCTACCTTTTTGTTCTATTCAGGCCCTCAAGGGATTAGATGATGCCTGCCCAAATTGATGAGGTGGTCTTCTTTACTCAGTCTACTGATGCAAATGCTAATCCCTTCTAGGAACACTCTCATAGATATATGCAGAAATAATGTTTTACAGCTATCTGGGTATCCCTTAGCCCAGTCAAGTTGACATACAAAATCATGAGAACCATCGTGAGAACCCTCAGGGAAACTACATGAAATACACTCCAGAATCTTCCTAGAGAGTGATGGGGAGACTAAGGCATTTATCTACCAACTCTGATTCCCTATTGTTTGAGGGTTGTCCTGAGGGGTGTTAACTTTCTACAACTTCCACTTGCATCCATGTACACTTAAGCAGGCTCCTGTGGTGCCAGAGAAAGCTCTCAAGCAGAGAAGCAGAGTCACAGGTGCTTGAGGTAGGGTTCATGCACAGAAATAGCTGCAGGTGAACTCAGAGGTGGATCAAAGGACTATACAGGATTACAATAGTGTCTGCTCAACCATTTTATTATGTTTTGTGCTTTTGTACTTACAAAGTCCTTCTTCATATAGTTATAATCGAATTCTCACAACTACTCTACTCTGCACTGTTGATATTATTCCTAATATTCCTCATTCATTTCATACTTAAAGAAGTTGACATTTTAGGGAAGTGAAGTTCCCTTCTTTAGGCAATAAGCAGCTGATCCAAGTCTCAATCTCACTCTTCTGACTTCAAAGCCCATACACTTTGCCCCCTGTTACATCACCTCAGGAAAGATAAGTTGGTTGGCTTCTAAATAAACAGTGATACCAGTCAGTGCATGATGTGCTGATGTTATAATTTATTTTCATGGCAGTTTCTGTCTCTTGTAGCAAAGGTGGAGGATGGTGACCCACATTTCAGGTTGAGGCTAAAAACAAGGTCCATCAGAAGAGTCAACTACAAAGGCTCTGCTCCAGCTAAAAAGAATTGTTCGATAGAGCACACCAGAGTGGTTTGTCCAGTAAGGCACAAGGAAATCATTGAACTTTTCTAACAGAAAATAAATGACTTCTTGGGGGGCGGGGAACTTTCATTTGAGGAGAAATAAACTATCATTAACCAATCTGTTCAATAACACCAAAGAAATGCTAGCAGATAGTCATGTTCCCTAGAAACAAATATATATTTAGAGTCATTTCTTAATCATCTGTAAACTTCCACAAGATAAGTATAAGAGGGCTGTACTGTGTTTGGTTATGTCTACCTTTTATTTCCAGGAAACTGAATTTATTTTTGATTCAGATCAGACTAATACTTTAGTCTGTACATTATATCTAACTGCTAATATTTGCCTAAGATATATGTAGGTATATGTCATTGATTTTGGAATGCTTGCAGAAATTCATATGCCACATGGGTAAAATTTGTGCAAGATGTTGACACTATTTTTCATAGGTGACACATTTCCCTAAAAACACATTGCAACACTGAAGTAAACTATTTTGTTTCTTCAACAGTGTAACATAGACACTGGGACCCTTTCCTCTAAGGTCCTTTCAAGATTAACAGTTAACAGTTGTAGTACCAAACAAAGTATGTCAATACTAGGAAACTTTAAGAAAATCTTTTTAGCTTCACCAGCCCTGTCTTTGACTTCTGTGGTTACACACGGGTAGTCTAATCTTTCATGCAGAAGTCTTGACTATATTGTCTTATTCTTCATAAAATAGTGTAGTAAGCTAGAGAACACTGGAATCCTGAGTGTCCTAGGACAGTCTTCCTTTCTACATCAGCTGCTCTCCTTGCTTCTCCCTCTTTTCCTTGTTAGCACATCAAGCAGATGATAGGCCAAAGCAGCAAAATAAATACAAAGAAAGAAAATGTCATTGTACTTTGTGTTGGATTATTTTGCTTTTTTGATGTCTTATATATTAAATGAATTCACACTTTGATACTTCCCTATCAGAAATTAGACAAAGAAATCCTCAGGGAGACTGGACAATCACAATTTTTTTCTTTCTATCAGAAAAAGTCAGTAACTAATAATAGGCAATCTTGGTAGAACTTTGATTTTGTCCATTTTCCTATGATTTGCACTTATGTGTATATATGTGTATATTTGAAAACAACTACTAGCATCTTTTGCTCATAGCAATGTTGATAAAAATACATTAAGATTCTCATGTGCTCTTCCGGTTCTAGGCGCTTCGGGAGCCGCGGCTAAAGGTGCAGACATGGCCAAGTCCAACGAACCATACCACACACAACCAGTCCCGAAAATGGCACAGAAATGGTATCAAGAAACCCCGATCACAAAGATACGAATCTCTTAAGGGGGTGGACCCCAAGCTCCTGAGGAACATGCGCTTTGCCAAGAAGCACAACAAGAAGGGCCTAAAGAAGATGCAGGCCAACCATGCCAAGGCCATGAGTGCACGTGCCGAGGCTGTCAAGGCCCTCGTAAAGCCCAAGGAGGTTAAGCCCAAGATCCCAAAGGGTGTCAGCCGCAAGCTTGATCGACTTGCCTACACTGCCCACCCCAAGCTTGGGAAGCGTGCTCGTGCTCGCATTGCCAAGGGGCTCCGGCTGTGCCGGCCAAAGGCCAAGGCCAAGGCCAAGGATCAAACCAAGGCCCAGGCTGCAGCTCCAGCTTCAATTCCAGCTCAGGCTCCCAAAGGTGCCCAGGCCACTACAAAGGCTACAGAGTAGGTATCTCT